TTTTCTTACAACAAATTACAAAACAGTGTTCAATGTATCAAAAACATATACAAAAATACAATTAAAAACAAAATGTCATGTCTATATTTTCCCAACAATCTGTATTTTGTTCTTTTCCATATACATCTTTTATGTCTTTAATTATCCGATTAATCACAGAGTCCGTAGTTAAAATAATTTGTTTTGATGATTTTAAACACCTCGCTTGCCATAAATGATATATAACAATACAATTAATTACATATAAAGTGCATTTGTTAATCTTATCTGCCCAATTGAAATTTCCATATACTAATTCAGCATAGGACTGTCCTTTAAAATTTGGTATTTTAAGAAGTGTGGACATTTCTGACCATATTGCTAAACTAAAAGGACAGTCACACAAAAAATTAGACATTGTTTCTAATATCCCTGAACATTCTTCCCTCGGACAATTTCGTTCCTCAAGTTTTTTAAATTTCAAATTAGAGCGAACGTATAATTTTCCTTGAAAACTAAGCCAAATAACATCTCTCAATTTAATTGGTATTCTCGTGCTAGTAACATTCTGAATGGCTTTTTTCATTAAGGTATTAGGGCAGTCTTTTAAAACCAACTGGGCACTATAGTACTTATTTAACAGAACATGATATAATTGTTTTCTATCTAGCCCAGTGATATCTTCATATGAAATTTGCCATCTCAGCAACAACTTTATACATTGCTGAGCATATAGAGAGCAATGTTTAACCTTGCCAGACAATCTTTTGATCTTTACACCTCTTGTCCAAACTCCAACAAAGTGATTAATTTGGTTTTTATATAAGATTCCCCATAAATCTGTTCTACCAGATTTAAAAAAACTTAAATTCTTGGTTATAAACAAGAGATTGTAAAAAAGTTCTGGACACAACATACCTAATCCTCCATCTTTCCTATGGAGATAGGAAATGTTACGTTTAACAATATTTAAACGATTACCCCATATTAGCTGGAACAACAAACCGGTTATCTTAACCACTAATTGATCAGGTAATGGAAAGACAAAACTTGTATAAATAAAAATGGGGAATAAAAATCGTTTGATAGCTTGAATTTTCTTTTGGTAAGACCATTTCCAATTTTTTCCATTTGTGTATTTTATCTGAGAATATTTTAAATTTATCATCCCAATTTCTCTGGGCAATGTCTTCAACACATCCATATGTAATACCCAACACTTTGATTGTTTTATCCTTTCTTTTAAAAGGGATTTGAAAAGCTTCTGCATTATCCCCCAGCCACAATGCTTCACTCTTCTCCATATTAACCATAGAGTTGGAAATCTGAGAATAACTTTTAAGTTCCCTTTGTAACAATTGGTTATCTGCTTCTGATTTCAAAAAAACAGAAATATCATCTGCATAAGCACAAACTTTGACTCTCTCGGAAACACCTTCTACTTTCACTTCTAGGCCTTGAAAATTAAGGTTTCCTTTTATTTTCCTTAATAGAGGGTCAATGCTAAAAACATAAAGCAAAGGACTTATAGGACAACCCTGACGAACTCCAGATTCAACCTGAAAAGGGTCTCCCAAACTACCATTAATTAAAGGGAAACATATTGCTTCTTTATATAATATCTTCAACCATTTAATAAAAGTATTAGGAATGCCATATCTCCGTAAAGTCTCAAATAAAAAATCATGATGTACTCGGTCAAATGCTTTGGACTGGTCTAGTCCTACCAAATAAATACCTTCTCTCTGCTGCTTAGCATATTCCACCACCTCTCTTACTAGCAACAGTGTATCCTGTATGCTACGATTCTTAACTGCACACGACTGACACGGACTTACCAAAATTTCAGCCACCGCACTAAGCCTCATAAACATGACTTTTGCAAGAATTTTGTAATCAGTATTCAATAATGATAACGGACGCCAGTTCTTTAGTTCATTCAAATTACCACTTTTAGCTAAAAGTACCAAGACTGAGGCATACTGTGAGGGCGGCAACTGTCCCAGAGTTAGCACTTCATTATATAGCATTACAAGATCCGTTACCAAAAGATCTAAAAACACTTTATAAAACTCTGCAGTTATCCCATCCAATCCTGGACTTTTCTTCCCAACTAATGATTGAATGCTATTTCTAACTTCTTCCTCTGTTATAGGCTTAACCATGGTCTCAGCATCCACTGCATTTAATACCGGATTATCAACATCTTGCAAATATTTTACAATATTTTCATTTGCAATAGGCTGTCTTGCAAACAATTGTTTAAAATATTTTGTGACAATATTTATAATGTCCTTACTTTCTGTTTGTGTTTCACCATCTTGATCTACCAGTCCTGCTATGGCTTTCTTACATACTCTTTCCTTACACGCTTGAAAAGGATCTGGGGCTGTAAAACCCCAACTATCGAATTCATTTTCAGCTTTTAGAGAGATCATACGGTCATATTGAAGTTTTTTCATTTTATCCTTAACTTGATTAATGCTATTTGAATTCACTGTCTCACCATTATTGACCAAGGAATATAATCTACTAAGTCTAAGTCTTAGAGCAAGATATTGCATATATTGACGATTTCCTTCTTTTCTAGCTTTTGATTTAAAAAAACTTTTAATATCTTTTTTTGTTTGTTCCCACCAACTCGACATCGCGTCGTATAAGCACTGCGTGGTTTTTTGATCTTCATAAAAAGTAATGAATTCTTGCTTAACTTTATCATTATCAAGTATTCTTGAGTTTAGTTTCCAGATACCTTTCCCATATATTATTCCTTCCTTTACCTTTAAGGACAGACTAATCATATCATGATCTGAAAACTCTACCAAGACTAAATTATATCTAAAAGATGAAGTTTGATTTTTTACATAGAGTCTATCTATACGACTTGCCCACCTCCCTTTATGATATGTAAACCCTCGCTGTGTAGGATAATTATATTTAAAAGTATCAATCAGACCAGCTTGACTGATCAGAGTTTTTAGAAAGTTTTCATCATATTTTAAATTTTTATAATTACTATTTCGATCTTCATTATTTACCACACCGTTAAAATCACCTCCCATAATTAACACTTTGGATGTGAAACAATATGGTTTTACACTTAAAAACACTTTTTTCCTACCTGCTATTATCTGAGGAGCATATATATTAATTATTCGATATCTCACATCATTAAGCGTAAAATCTAACAAAAGGCATCTACCTGCAACAATTTCCACAATCCGATCAATTTGAAAATCACAGTTCTTAAACAAAATACCCACACCATCATAGCTTTCCAGTCCAAATGACCAATAAGATGGGCCCATTGTCCACTCTCTTTTAGCACAAAAAACCTGGCTATTATTTCTTAATCTTGTCTCCTGTAATAAACACACATCAAATGATTGTTCTTTCAGAACAGTATAGAGTAAGTCTCTTCTCTCTTTTGATCTCAAACTGTTGACATTAAGCGAGCATATATGTAAAGTCATGAAAACCAAGGAGACTCAGTGCTTCTTCTTTACTGCTCCTATATTGTCACCTTGAGATCCCCATCGTTTTATTGAAACAGAGGCAGTTGCTTCTTCTTCACAGAACAACTGCAATTCCTCTGTGGATCGCCTTTTCCAGAGAGATCCTTCACTCTGTTTAAACTCCATGGCATCTTCACTAGGTTCATCCAGGATAGCATAGCGACCAGCAGTTATCTCAAATGACGAAAGCATCTGAGGAGGTTTTTGTGACTCAGGAGTACCTGAATATTTTAATTTCTTCTTGTGTTTTCCTTGCACCAACTGAAATTCCTCACTGTTTTTTTCTAATATTGGACCCTTTTCAACATTTAATGGAGATTGTATTTCCTTGGCGTCTTTCCTTAAGATGTTTTCTGGCTCAGTAATGTCATCTTTCTGTGGCTCATTTGTATCTTGTTTCTCAGTTGTATTGGGCTCTTCCATTGCTTCAGTAAGTATACTTTCCAAATCTAGCACACAGTCGTTTATCTTATTATGGTGTGCTTCTGGGCACTCTCTAAAGGTATGACCTTGTACAGAACATAAGTTGCATATTACGTCCTGCTTGCATTCTGATCTCATATGGCCCAGACAGTTACATTGAGAGCACTTTATTTTATCACAGCAATAGGCCAAATGCCTTGTTGACCCGCATTTATAACAGCTTCTAGGCTGTCCTGGATAATAGCAAATGCCTCTGTCCGTACCAATAAAAAAACTGTGTGGTAAATGATGAGTAACGCCCCCTGTCTGCCACAGTTTAACTTGCAGTTTCCATCCACCATTCCATAGCCCAATCTCATCATAAATCTTTTGTGGGTCACTCACAACTGTACAGTGTCTCTTTATCCAATACATTATGTCATTTAAAGCCACTACTTCTGTCTGGAACTGGAGATTGATAGACACTGTGGCCTGTTTTGTGAGTGGGATAGCTTTTATATTTTTCCAGATACCATCTGATTTTGTCCTATGGAAAATCACCCAAAACATATCCAGGTTCTGCATTAGTTTAAAACTAATGTCAAATTGTCTTGATCCAGGAAAGTGAATAAATGCAAATATTTCACTTGCAGAAAAACCCATGAATTCCATTAAGAGTTTGCGACCAATGAATATTCTGTCTGGAATATCAGGTTCTGGTCCTGTGAACAATAGGCGCACTGCATTCTTCCGCTTAGATACATCTCCCCTTGATCTTGCTACATTTGAAAACAAATTCCCGCTTGTTGCAGGTTGTTGTTCATTTACCTGTGTGCTGCTCTGTTTGCTGGTTCCTGTTCCCATTTTAGTACCTGTATCCGGTCCATGTTTTTGTCCTTCTGGATTGCTAGAGCCAGTTCCAGATTGCAGATGTCTATCCGGTGATTCCTCCAGATTCTGCTCTGCTGTGGAATCCCTGCATTGTGTTGCATCTCTTGCAATGCTTACACCAAGAGGTTTTTGCAAATCACTTTCTTTCTCAATAAGTGTTTCCACAACACGCTTTATGCTCCTAGATCTCAGTTTATGGACAGTTATTTCATTTAAGCATTCAGGTATGGCAATGCTGAGGGCTGCTGGTTTATTGCACCCAGGTGAACTCTCAGGTTTACATTCAGCAGCAGCCTCTCCTGTTTGAGCAGGTAAAGTCACTGGGCACATTTTATCACTTAATTTCTTTATCATTACCCCTACTTGCTTGTCTTTTAGCGGTTGTGTGGGTACCTTCTTAATCTTTAATGGGTTTAACTTTTGCATTTTATAACATTTTCTTTCCTCACCTTTTATTGCACTTTTCAGTTTTTCAATGCTTTGCTCTTTTACATCCATTGCCGTTTGTAGGGAGTCGATCTCCACCTGGATCTGATCAATCTGCTGCAGAAAACATGTTCTCTCAGATTCCTGGGTTACTTCATCCACTTTCTTTACCAAATCTTGCTTCTGCTTGTACAAATCATCATACATTGCACATAAAGTCTGATAATTAGCAGAAGCATCTCCCAGTTTTTTGTCCAAAACCGTCAAAGCTTTACTAATTAAACTTTCCTTAAAAGGTCTCCTTTCGTTTGTTTGGGCTTCTTGGCCTTCCAACACCTCCAGGCCTGGGACTAGAGCTGGACTAGTATCCAGAACACCAACACTCCCCCCTGGGTCTGAGGCCATCCTCAGTCCCCCTACAGGAGCTCCAACACATAGGAGTTATAGGGAGAGGTTATATGGAGTAATAGGAGGAGTTATAGGGAGAGGTTATGGAGTAATAGGAGGAGTTATACAGAGAGGTTATATGGAGTAATAGGAGGAGTTATAGAGAGAGGTTATATGGAGTAATAGGAGGAGTTATAGGGAGAGGTTATATGGAGTAATAGGAGGAGTTATAGGGAGAGGTTATATGGAGTAATAGGAGGAGTTATAGAGAGAGGTTATATGGAGTAATAGGAGGAGTTATAGAGAGAGGTTATATGGAGTAATAGGAGGAGTTATAGGGAGAGGTTATATGGAGTAATAGGAGAGAGGAGGTTATATGGAGTAATAGGAGGAGTTATAGGGAGAGGTTATATGGAGTAATAGGAGGAGTTATAGGAGAGGTTATATGGAGTAATAGGAGGAGTTATAGAGAGAGGTTATATGGAGTAATAGGAGGAGTTATAGGGAGAGGTTATATGGAGTAATAGGAGGAGTTATAGGGAGAGGTTATATGGAGTAATAGGAGGAGTTATAGGGAGAGGTTATATGGAGTAATAGAGGAGTTATAGGGAGAGGTTATATGGAGTAATAGGAGGAGTTATAGGGAGAGGTTATATGGAGTAATAGGAGGGGTTATAGGGAGAGGTTATATGGAGTAATAGGAGGAGTTATAGGGAGAGGTTATATGGAGTAATAGGAGGACTTATAGGGAGAGGTTATATGGAGTAATAGGAGGAGTTATAGGGAGAGGTTATATGGTGACATAGGATTATATTTATTAATAGAAATAATTTATATTACTGGAGGTTTCCCAGGGAGAGGTTATAAAGGTCAATAGGATGGGTATGGACGAGTGTGCGAAGAACAGGAGATATATTAGGATATAGGAGGGATTAATAGGAAGGTTAATATAGGGAAGTTACATGTTAAAAGGGGTTTTGAGTTCCTGTCTTTTCAGCCATTGGTTTCCTGCTAGGTCTGTGACTGCAACTGTTGATGTAACAGCGGGACTCAATTTGAAGATACTTGATTAACAAGTTCTAGACACCTAGGAAATGGAGCAGGAATGCATTGCTCCCTTGTAAAAGTTACGCGCTAACACAAAGGGAGCATGTAAAAATATCCAGTCTGCTGCAGGCACTCCAACCTGCAAAATAGGCCTGAGAAGGGAGGCTTGGCCTGTGAGACATGTGGGATTTTGGCTGACCGCAGGGAAGGCGAGGGGCCAGGACAGACTGGGCTGGGTTCCCACGCTCTCACGCGTGGCTTACGAAGTCTGATGTAAGATTTCATAATATCCCAAGCAGACGACAGGAGGAGGAGGAGCGGGCCTTGTTGTTTCGTTTGCTGGCCTCTGAAGTGGGGAGTGCCAGGGAAAGCAATGTGGCCTCCTTGGACCCCTTTATTTCAGAGTTGTATAGTTTGAAGACTCTCCAAGTTAATGGTTGAATTCACTTTGTTCGTGCTCTGAAACATAAGAAGGAAATCCGTAGTGCTGTGTTATTTTAAGGGGGTGCTTTTTTTTTTTTACTTGCATGGTCTCCCCATAGCAGTTTGTTGACACACCCCTATATTTTCTTGTTTGGACAGGAATCACAGCGAAATTCTCAGCCTGAGAGGGAGATCAGGGGAAGGCGCACTAAGAAAGAGTGTGAGGGAGCCTGTTCATTAAAATGGCACCATATAAATAAACTGAACTCTCAGAGATGGCGTTTCTCACAGGCCTAGTTAGTTTTTCTTTTTTTCATAGTCTGTCCTCATCTTGCTGCGGGGAGACTTTGTTAAACAACTTTCAATGTGACCTATAGCAATAGATATGCAGACGGCTAGACTGAAAGTGGAATGAACGATACAGGCGTACTCTCGGAGAGCTAGCAATAACTACAGTTTGCGGAATATCGCCATCTGATTGACGACGACCTTAAACAGTCTAAGCATAGCCGTAGCAACGATAGTTGAAATTTTGTCAACTCTGTGCTAAAATAAACACGTTACCTTCCTCTCCGGGAAAAATACAAAAATTGCGTTAGCTAAAGGAGTCTGGCACACAGACGGGTTAACAAGATGATAATGATGCACACTCCTTGGTTTTGTGACCAGTGGTTATTGTTCTGAATCTAAAATTATCGCAGTAGAATTTATCTTTCTGTTTATTTATGTAGGTGAACTTCATTCGGCCAATGTAATTAGATGAAACCCCAGAGGAACTTGTTATCTTAACTGAACTGAGAGGATATATTAAGTGATAATTTTGGAAAGATTTAGCTTCTCGCAGAGAGACTTCTCCATCTGCTGCCATGTGTGATGCTACAGAAGCTATAGCTTCTATGAGAGAGAAACTTCACCAATCTTAAACATAAATAGCTCACCTATGGCACTCCAGCTGTTACATGATCTAGAAAAAGCAAGATAACTTCAGATGTTGTAGACTTAGTTTCCTATAATTCTCTTAATTCTTAGTCCTTGCTAAAAGCCTCGGAAAAAGTCCACAATAGCTTGCATACCAGCAGTTAGCCAACCATGTGTTAGTGCCTAATCTCTCCGGTTTAATTTTGTGTTACAAGGTTATTTTCTGGAGGTGACTATATGCAGTTGATCAGCCTTTTAGAGATTTTTACAACTATTGTCAATTTGGTAAAATCTTCCCCCCAACTTATCAAACGTAGTCAATATTCTGCAATTCATCAATATTTGCTTAAAATTAGCAATTTGGATTTAAATTCAGTAAACTTTTGGAGTTTAGTAAATAAACCCCTTCGTGAATAAACCGTTTAATAAATATTTCCCTGATATTCACACTTCTATATTTGTCCTTGCCTCCAAAAAACGTTATGCTGCCAAAGTACATTCAAGAAACAAGTCTATTCTTTAAATATAATTGATTTGTTTACCCAGTCCTTATCAAAGAATGTAGTTGCTTACATTAATGCACGTTCTGTGTGCGCCCTTTGCTGGAGACGGCTTACTGCGGAAGTTAGCTAACTTCACCCATGGCCTCCTAGAACTATATCCACTACAATAACCTGTAGTGGTTATAGTGCCTGGAGTATCCCTTTAACTTCCTTGAGTACTGGTCATCTCATCCCTTAAAGGACCACTATAGTGCCAGGAAAACATACTCGTTTTCCTGGCACTATAGTGCCCTGAGGGTGCCCCCACCCTCAGGGTCCCCCTCCCGTCGGGCTGGATGGAGAGGAACTTACCTCTTTCTCCAGCGCCGGGCAGGGAGCTCTCCGCCTCCTCTCCTCCTCTTCGGCTGAATGCGTATGTGCGGCAGGAGCCGTGCACGCATTCAGCCAATCCATAGGAAAGCATTCACAATGCTTTCCTATGGACGCTGGCGACTTCTCACTGTGAAAATCACAGTGAGAAGCGCGGAAGCCCTCTAGCAGCTGTCAGTGAGACAGCCACTAGAGGCTAGATTAACCCATTTATAAACATAGCAGTTTCTCTGAAACTGCTATGTTTATAGTAAAAAGGGTTAAACCTAGCTGGACCTGGCACGCAGATGACTTCATTAAGGTGAAGTGGTCTGGGTGCCTATAGTGGTCCTTTAAGCTGTGCTTCATAAGCACAGCAAGAATTTATGTAAGTTGAAGACAGCTTTTTACTATAGAAATATGAGAGCTGAATGCTACAACACCCAGAAGTTTAAATTTTAATATCATACACATCATTATATTTAGAACAAAAACTGAAATACTGCAAATGGAGGGGTAAAAGAGTGTGAGAGTTTATGGTGAAAAAGAAACAGACTTGTTTTTTTAAAAACTAGACTAATACAAAACAAAATATACCCAGCATAACTAACTGGTAATTAATTGAACTATACCTAACGTATTTGGTTTGCTGGAAAGCCTGATTAATAAAATCATAGTGGTTATGGTACCAGGAGTCCCCTATCGCCATTGCGCAGTAAAGGGATCAATGCGGTTTTCAGTCTCCTCTATGGACCTCTAGTAGAAGTTCCTATTCTAATTTGGCAATCTTACGTTTGCGTGAGGGTATTGGGTTATTGATTTGCAATCACTCTCAGCTGGTGAATAACTTTCAAATAAGGATGAAATTGATATACCTGATGCGGTAGGTGAACGTCTTGAAGAGGGGCTGGACTGAGAGTGCCTGGGGAACAAGGGTAATTGGTTTGACCTATTTTGTTGGGAAATGACGCAAAGAAACACCTGGCACCATATACACTGTAGGGCGCTGTAGTAGTTATTAGTAGTATGCACCTTTTTAATACGCTTTGGCACCTAAGAGGTACTGATATATTTCAACAGTAGTGCTTTATCTCAAGATGTGGTTTTATGTAGATAGCCAAACCGGCACACTTTCAATATTCTAAATCATTTATTGTAACCTTTTATATACACAGTACAAAATTGTGGCTATCGGCTGAATTATTATACATTATAATTTTTTATTTATAGAAAGCCAAGTGCACTGCAGTATGACAGAATTACAAGCAATTTGAAATGTAGCAGGCATTATATGAGTATAACATACATGTGTCTACATACTAGCACACAAAGAGACAGGGCCCTGCTCTTGCCTACTGATAGTCTAGAATGATTTGTGGAGGATTGACAAAGGATCTGCGGTTATAGTCGAAAAAAGCCGAGATAGAAATTGAGCTTATTTGGCTCAGAAATCTTTCCAATTTAGCGATTTGAACCTAAAATTTGAGATATTTAAGATAAAAAACAAAAAACAAACAGTTGACACTCTGTTGCTTTTTTTTACCCCCTAAGGACCAAACTTCTGGAATAAAAGGGAATCATGACATGTCACACATGTCATGTGTCCTTAAGGGGTTAATCTGTCATCATAATCAAGCTCTTAAATAATAATTTTACCACTATTAAAATTTTTTATTTTGCAGCAGTTACTACAATAGTTTTTTTTGTGTGACTCACGTCATAAATACATATAGAAATCATGGACACTTCAGTCGCAGTTACACTATTTAACAATTGTTGTTGTTTTTTTCATACATGTCATTGGTTAAAAAGCACTCTAAATGAGTTTATAGTACAGTATGTAAGAATTTGTGTATTTGTGTCTTATCATCTATTGTGTGCTCCTGTAAATGACTTTTATGTCAATGTAATTGGGGCATTGTTGACCCCAGTGTATTTCTACTTGGTTAAATACTTCATAAATAAATGATGGGAGTGTTTGTCATGTGTTTTCATTACCCTGATCTCACCCCACTCTTATCAGAAACTGTACAGAGACTGCAATAGAGAATTTCTTATCTGGGACTTGTTTAACCCCATAAGGTCCTTAGCGGTGCGCAACACATTTCAGTACAGTACGTGTCACACCCCTCTGCTGCTGCTGGAGACGAGTTTTCAGACATGCAGGCCTCTACCATAAGTACCAATTATGAATGTCTTTTGCACATTTATTTTTTAGAATGCCAAATTATTAATATTTTTTGTATGGTATCCTGTGAATAGTTATATCTATGTTCTTTATGGGAATCTAGATGTGTCTAATATTTTTTTTTATTAGCAATGACTCTTTCGTCCCCCAATGTTAAGCTGTGTACTTTTAAATTTTTAGTTCAATCCGAGAGTTGCAGAAGCGTGGTACAGCCTGCCAGCAGAGTTGATAGTGAAAAATACATTAGGAAGCTTGGGACGGACCCATTGCTGCCCTGGGCAAAGGGACAAAATCAATAGTAAAACCAAGGGAAGGTTAGACTAGGCTGGCCGATTGGCTTCCTGCGTCTGTTAACACTTTGTGGGCTAGAAAAGATGACTGAGGAATCCATCACTTTCTCTGTGTGGCATTTAAAGCGTTAAATGTTCCGTAGTCGTCCGGTGCACGTCAGGACTCGGAAGAAAAAGTAGACTTTGCTGGCGATTAAGTTGTGTCACCTTACTTTATCTCACCAAACATACCCACAAGTTAAATCCATAACAAAGGATGTGCGTGCGACTCAGCAACCACATGCTCAACCGTCGCCTTAACTGTTTCAGTGCTGCAGGCATTTATTACAGTCTCTTTCATACATATATTTAGCGTTATAAAAATATTATTATACCCACGTACAGCATAGAGGCTGGAAAGGAGACTTGTCTTGTGCAAGACTGTGGGCATTGCAAAGCTCTGGGTGGTCTTGCAAGAGCAGTGAACCAAACCCAACAATTATATATAAAAAAAAAAAAATATATATATATATATATATATGTACATTGTTTGAAACCAACCAGATAAACAAACACAAATATAAACATTTTATATACACCAGTGCTGTCCAAATGTTAGACCTTTCAACTACAATTCCCATGATGCTTTGCTAGCCTAGAACCCAGATATACGCAATTTTCATGTAAATATTGTAGGATAGTGATAAGCAATAACACCAAAACCATTGGTAATAATTATGGAAAGATTTAAAAAGTTTTTTTTTTTCCTTTTGATAGAATGTTAGTGGCTCGCTATCCTTTTATAAAAGTGAGCTGTGTGTTTTGTGAGTTATTGCAGCTGCGTGTGCGGCACAATCTTTCATCTTTTCCTGTGTCGGGTAAAATTCTCCTCCCCAGCTTTTGTCTGCCCTGTCCGTGTTGTGACTGACTGCAATTATGTAATTGGTGTAATTGAAGATTGCAGTTTAGAGAATTCACACAGTGTGTCCACGCTGCTTCTTGTTACACTGCAGGTGCACCTGAATTCAGGGCTATAAAATTAAAGATAGGTGGGACTACCTAGGACGGATCTGTTGGATTATGTTTTCTGAAAATAAACTCACTTCACCAAACAACAGCAATGTTGTGCTGTCTTTTCATGCAGATAATGGGTTCTTAAAATGGCTGGACATTTCTCAAGTCAACACTCATAAAGCGTGTGGCAGTTCAGGAGTGTACTTTCTAAATTGCAAAGAATTTGTTTTACGAGAATAAAAAGTTGAGAATTGGAATGTCCTTCCTGAAGAATTAGAAGACACAAACACCAATATCTGTTTAAAAAAATAAAAATA